CTTGACTTGGTTGTTGAAAATTTCAAGGTCAGATAATTACAGTTGATCATCGAAAGTTTCAGGCAAACGAGATTCACCTGAATGTTTTCGAACTGAATTCTATCAGGCGCACTGCGTATCGGTTGAAATTTACTGAAATGAATTTTCTGTTTTCCTGTTCATTTTATTGCCTGATCGTCCACTGTGTCAGGTAACTAATTACTCTGTCGTTACGGAAGTACAACTCCCTCGAACAATTTTTTATTCCTAAACCACAATCATTCAAATTTATCGAAATAATTCCCGGAATATACCAGCGACACGCTGAATGACAAGTGCAGTTTAGCAAAAAAGCTTTTTGTTCAGTGACTCATCAACTGGCTAATACGTCACATTTGATATCACATCATTTTACATATAAGAGAGGTAACAAAATTAGTGATTATTCAAATGGGGCTTGTTGTTATTGTTTTCTGTCTCAATTTCACAAAACCGGATATGGCTGATCCTGACATCGGACATCCGTGTTAATTGTGTGATTTGGGGTGTTAGAAAATTCATGTAGTTTTTCCGGTGCATTATAGAGTCCTGGGCCCAGTCTAACGACTGATATCATGCACTTTCCTCAGCTTTATGCTTCCACTTACGTGCTCCTTCCCTCGGTCTCGCTTATTTATTTCATCTTATCGTTATTTTTTTCGTTTCGTAATAGGCCGGTGAACCGGTTGATCAATGCATTCTTCGCCAGTTCTACTCTTGCTGTGCACGTGCTGCGGAATCATCCGAGGATGACAAGAATAAAACCGGTAACCACGATCCGACCGGGTCTCCTGATTCAGGTAGCCCACGGAAAAGAAAACGGGAGGAGAACCGGATCAGGGAGTTGAAGCAGTTGAACTCGGATGCCGCCAAACAGAAGATACGTAAACGGACTAGATGTGCCTATTGCACAGCTGTACGCGCACTACGTCTGTATCAGAATGCTGTGAATTACGAACGAGCCGGATCGCGTTCCGCAGTCCAGGATGAATCAGAGGGACAAAGACTGGGCACGTTGGAGTCAACGTTCGAGGAGGAGGATGAAGTTGGAACTGGACTGATGCGAAACAATCCATTGGTTGTGGCCATCTCAATTGTCTGTCATCAAGTTGTGCGGGTACTGTCTTCAGATCAGGCCCCGAAAACTCCATTTCCCATTCAAGTTTGGCGTCAGCGGGCGAAGCGGTTTGAACAACTGTTTCGCCAAATGGGCAAAGAAATCATGGTAAGATATTTTTCATCTCACTGGTGAATACAGATAGAGTCCAGTGAAATGCGCGTGTGATAATCCTTGAGTTTCAAATGGGAATCCTCGAGTTGTTAACCTTCTAGGCTTTACGATTCAAATTCAGTATCAATTTTCATTTAGTGTGTGAATTAATCCTCTATTCTGAACGCAAATGTACCCATCGTAAACTTCATCGTGAGACCCACTGCACAACCCGGTCAAGAGTTTATTGATATAGGGACAAACTGAAAGAAACGGTTCAGATTTCAGTCACATTAACTCCATCGAAACCCAAACTTACTTCAACTGTCTCTTTGTTTATCTCTATTCCAAGAAGGTACGAAAACCCTAACCAAGGCAATAGGTCACATAGGTACCGTTAGGCTCCCTGGATGTGGACTTCGAGATCGTAGTAACCGGTGGTTAGAGACACTGAGTGATATAACCGAGTGCATGGTTAATGGTTGTAAAAACTGAAACGTGTCACTTTCCCAAGGTTGTTTGCATTCTTCTCTTGAGTACGAATAGATTTTAAAACCTTTGAGGCAATTCAACCTCTTACTCAGAAGCAGTGTGTTTCGGTTTCCGCGGTCGAACTGAGTCGCGTACAAGTCCCGGCCTGTCAGACCTACTCACTTAAGTACGAATTCGGCGTTTCAATACTGTGTTGTTATTCCTCCTGTCCCATTTATTACTTCCAATAATGTTCAATAACAAACTTTTATTGTGTTTCGTTGTTTTGGTTCCCTGCTCTTACTAGCAGTAGGCGTTGGAAAAGAGATGAAAATTTCAACTCTGCAGTGCTGCGCAAACGAATCACTCCTTGTCACTAGCGTACGTTTGCAACATCTTTTATGTGAGCGTATTTCCTGTGTACAGTGGTTCATCTTTATCCACTTCCGGTGTTCATATTCGAACGCTGAATGTTGAATTCACATGTCTTCCTCTGTTCACTCCCATCGCGTTCATCGTTTGGTTTGTCAGTTGACTAGTCGCACGCAGTCACTAACGAAGGAATGGTGGAACATTCACGACGATACGGAACAGTTTGTCATACGATTACAAGCAACCTGTCCCACGGATCTGGCCTTTATTCATGAACACGAGGTGAGTATATACTATCTTCTCGTGTGTCTGTGCGCGTGTGTGGCTCATTCGGACGTATTTTTGTTGTTTTCGCAAACCGAGAATCTTGCAGTTTCTTCCGCAAACAGTTTTCCCCACATTTTGGAGAGATGTAACGGTTTTATCGCTTTGACATATTGTTAACACCGACTTCTTCATTACAGACACCAGATACGAAATCGTGAATAGGCACGCATGATGAGCTCAAACGATAGCAATGATCAACCCGATGTTTCCCGAGTGCATGGTTGATCGAATGAATTGAAAGTTGTGCGTGAATAGATGGATGGTTAGTTAAAATCATTAATAGTTTATTCCGTTTCACTACTCGTTAGTAGTTGTGAATTAAAACTAGACTCATGGTCTCAGTGATCCATCTTACCTTGTCTTTGAGACTGGGATTACATGAACACTCTTACCGCTGCGTTTATCAAACTTTGGGTCTTTTTAAATGTGAATTAGCAATGCTCAGTATTGCTTTGTTTCCAAACTGGATACAATATCCTCAGAATGGAATAAAATGCAAAGTATGCAGAACACGGTTTCTGTATAATTTAGTGATCGCTTTTCTCTGTTGCACAATCATCACTGCCAACTGTGAAACTGGTCAGGTATTCACACGATAGCAACATAAACTGAATAGTATTTATCGGGTAAAGGTAAATGCACCGATAGTATGGAAGAATTTGGTTCGATTACATAATGAAATCGCCGTGTTAGGAGCAGGCGAAGCGTGATCTGAAAAGCCAGGAAACGTTAGACAGCTGTTCCGATCTGATTTAGTTTTATCAGTAGTACGAAGCTATCGAGACGACTGGGGATCGAAACCGTGACCTTACAAGTGAAATTCATGACGAATCAATAACAATCACAAAATAAGTTGTTTGGCAACACCGTGACTGAAGGCCTGAAAATTATTGGTTTTACGCATTTTAGGTGTAGAACAATTTATATCTATCTCTCTTTTATTCATTTCCGCTACTGTCACTAATCTCCATCCTTGAATAACTGTTCATGGAACGCAAGCCTTTTCGCGTGAATTTTTCCGCAATGCAATGTATACCCTCTCTGCGTACGACAAGATACAGTTTCAATTATCTCTATCACTACTCCCCTCATTCATCTCCTTTCTATCAACTAGGTTGATGCCCAACTTCAATCCTATCTGGTTGAGGCTACAGTAGTGTGGCCTCGACTCCAATCCCGACTGGGACATTTTAGTTTTCTTCGAAACGCACACCTGGCCGCAGTAACGGGGGCCAACGCGAAAGACCCGAAATCCGGCGATGGTTCGGACACACAAGGTTTCCGTCTCGAATGCCCCACTTGTCTTCAACCGCATTGTCCGACCAATCCGACATTTGTTCTCCTGCCCGGTTGTTGGCATGCTCTCTGTGTCCAGTGCCACGATCGCATAGCCTCATACGGCCAGCCTGCGCAACGTCGTTGCCCGATTTGCCGCACACCGTTCAACTCGAATGAGTGCACTGGGATCAATGCACAACGCCGACGTCCGCTCACTCTGATTCACTATACGGATCGGAAACACGAGTCCGAAGATGGGAACAGTGACAAATCGACCACGAAGATCAAGGCTGATGAAGAGGCGATAATCCCGATTGTAGTAAGTGATAGCTTTCTTGTGTCGATGCGCATGCTTTTCGCGGCACGATCTAGCGCATTCTGTGAGTGATTTCTTCACATTTTTTGCAATAAAGGATCCATAGGTTTGTCGGCCGAAAGGAATCGAGTGACCCTTTATGTGAAGCTTATCCAGAGGTAGCCATAGCAAGTCGTCTTTCTTACTTGTTTGGTTTTAATTGTTTGGCAAGCTAACCATTCTGTGGTTATTGTCTCAAGTTCTGACTTGGGTTTCTCACACACCTATTTCAAAAAGCCTATTTCAACGAGATGATTCTGGGAATCGATGTATGATAACCAGGGCGTTTTTTGCGTGTTAATCAGAATATGGAGAACAAATAAATTTTCTCTCGGTTTCAATTTAAATTTTGTGTGCAACTGGCAACAGAATTGAATCTAGTAGAATGATTCTTACCTATTCGACTTTCCTCGGTGCCGGAACACTTCAGGGTTGAAATGTTTGTCACTTCGTAAGACACCAATCGTGATGTTATAGCCAAACAGACCTTTAAGTTTCTGTTGTCTAAGTATATGAAGTTTTCTAGGAGTTGAATAGAATACATTAAACGCTGGCTGTCGAGTTAAGAGGCCCGTGCTGTAATGGCAAAACATGCAATGATTGGGACGCACACTTGGTATCTTGGTTCGGAGTCTACGAGCTGCTTCGGATCAGTGTTTGCTCACACAAAGCTGAGTAACTGGAATAGTGAAGCCTAGCTGTTATTTAGATCATCTTAATGTTCAGTTATTGTCTGTTGTTCTTTTTTGCTACATATTTATCTCCCGAGTTTCTCGTTCGCCTGAATTTTCACACGGGTTGCCTTGTTCTTTACCACCCTTTGGATTACTGCTTTCTCGCTTGCATGGCATTAACCGAACTAACCGAACTAAAGCGCAGGTCCTCTGACTGTCAGAATATTGGAAGTTTACCTTTTCCACTTCGAAAAGTCTCATCTGTTCTCATTCTATCCTCAGGCACATTTAAGTCTTTCGCTTTTGTTCACCCTCTTTATTTTATTTCCACACTTGTTGAGCTCTTCCAACCGAAATTGCGTAGACGATCAGCCCTTTTTTCAACTGAGACTGAAAGTTGAGCACGAAATCGAACAGAGGACACTTACTGCATGATTGTTATTCAGCACTTACACTGTCCAGTGTGTGTATGTTTATATATAACTCTGCAACCACTTCGTTGGATCGCGTCACCATTTGGCGTAAAAGTGGGGAACAAGCGTGCGTGCAACACTCGTTTCGGGTTATGATTAACAGAGAATCACCCAGTCGTAATTACATTTGGGTACAATCTGCGGAGCTTTAGCATCCGGTTTTGTTTATCAAAACCATTCAGTGTTGTCGTTCTGAACTGAGTGTTTTTATGAGAAAAAACAGAAGCCCGAATTAGCTTGTTTCGGATTGTTCCGAAACTTTGCTACTGCCGTGAAATTCGTGTTACCAGTTCGGGAGAAAAATATCTGAAGGGATTGGGATAAATCATCACATCGTATCCGAGTTTGTTTCTTTATGTCTTTTATTTCAATGTGAACGGGAAATAATCATTCAGAAGATGTGTCATTTTTCGCTGCAGTTTATCCTTCAGGTACAGCTATGGATGATAATGTTGATGATGATAACAATCCTCATTTTTCGCTTGTCATCTAGGGGGATCACAGTTCCAAAGTTCAAGCTGTTATTCGTTGTCTCAAACAAATCAAGCAAGAGGATCCTGACGCAAAGGCGATTGTGTTCAGTTCGGTAAGCGGAAACCGATTTTTTCATTTTCCTGTTTATTTTTGCCATTGTGCATCAGGAGCCGTGCTGCGTCCCCTCATTTGCAACCATGGTAAAACGTCTCCGGAGGGAAGTGGTGTGTACATTCGAAATAGTGATTTTTGTCGAAATTGATCCTGCGCACTACCCAATCATATAATTACGTCCGTATGACGTTTATACGTACTATAAAGCCATGTGCTAGGAAAGAACACATGGCAAGTAGTGTATGATCAGTGAGTACACACCAGATCAATTTTTACAAAAAACCTAGCTCACGTACTCCAATCATCATGCCTGAGAGCCCACTGTATAAATAGCAACCCTTACTCTTCATACACCAGGTCAGTAATGTAGCGGTTCACTATAAAATGCACCCTCACTCCAAATTCGACGTTTATGCACGTTTAACAATTTGTCGCCTCAGTCATGCGTCCGACTTGTCCGTCCCAGTTAGTCTGATGAAGAAGTTTTTCATCCTCTTTTGACCTTCTTTTCGCTCTATCTCACATCGTATCTAATGAATGAACTGCAAAAGAGAGCTAACTGTATGCTCTCTCTTAGGCTAGTGGATGGAGTGACAGTCCCGACATCCATTGAAGACGGAAATCGATACTTTCGGATTCTGTTCCATTCAACGGAAATTGTTGCTTACAAGTTCCGTTTAAGAGAGATCCCCAAACTCCGAAGTTTGAGAGATTTTCATGCCAAAACAGGATATGTATTGCTGGGTCTGTCAGTCCATGAGGCGTTTCTCAACGATTCTAATCGAAAGATAATTGCAAAGCAGTGCAAGCGTTTATTGAAAGAGCCAGAAATGTCCGCTGAATAATGTAGAAGTGTGTTATAATCATAAGGTTTCACAAAACCCAGTTTTTCTTGCTGAATTAAAAATACGATGGAACGAATGGATCAATCAGGTTGCAGTACTCTTTTCGTTACCTTGGCTATCACCCATCCGGTAACATCGAGGAAACACTGGTCTAAATCCATTTTCCTTTGTTTCTATTGGAATTTTCAGGGGTAAAATATATGTATATTCTGTTTTTATATTATTCATCAGAATATCACTGCTTGTTTTCACGTCTCTCAGAGAATTCTTCCTTAGAATTCTACCTACTTAAGTGCATTGAAGAATGTCCACTAATGAATTGGCCCTCTTTATCGAAAGTGTGCGTGCATTCGACAAATTAAGAATGAAGGGTACCACATCTAGGGGGAGTCTGAATCTTGAACGTGCTCACACAATGATGCTTGTTCAACATCCTACATGCATCCTTACTATAATCATATGCAAATGAGACTCGGTGTATACTGCACGTACCACCTCCCTCTCTGCTATGGAGATAGTGTTAGACAACGCCCACTACATAAAATGAACACAGCTTATTTATCGCGGTGGACCTCGTCGTCGATCGCAACAGTGCCTTCTGTGCGCTTCAATCCTTCATATCGTTTATCCGAAAATTCTGAATGAAACACAGGCGCATCTTATTACCTGTTTTTTCTCGCTTCTTTTCTTTAATGCTCCATTGTCACTTGGGCTAACAATGATAGTCGTGGCTCGGTCTTATGCATATTCGACTCCTCCACGTCACACGTTCTTCCAATGGATGAGCATTCGATTCCAGTTCTCAGATTGGAACATCCTACGGAGGATAACAATACAACTGTGACTTCTTTCGCTTAGTTGGCACAATACTCCTTATTGCGCGCGTGTCCGTTTTGGAAACCAAATGGGATGCGTCATTTAACATTTAATTTTAGGGAACTTATTTCTTTCTTTGTAACCAAAAACCTCAGTTACTAGGTGTTTTTTCGGCACCATCATCCATGTACCCCGCAGTCTGTAGACTGTAATCGAAGCATTGATCATCATAGACTGAAATCCCTACACTTCGTCCTTAAAGGTATGCTTCCGCTAGTAATATTTCATTGTTTGTGCTACAAGATTTTGTCGCACATCCATCAATCATATGCAACAAGCTCTCATGACCCATAAACCTATTCGATCTCCTAATCTCTGAGCTGCCGCAACAATATCTGATTCCACATCGTCCATCGCTTGCACATCAGCTTTTCTATCGCTTTCCGGTCTATGATGGAGAGGTTGATGTGACTAAAAGAATCAGTAATGTTGACTCTAGCCAGGATCAAGGGAAATGATAACTGCCTTCACCACAAACCTTCCTTTTTTCTCGCTAATCTGATTTGCAATAACTGGTTGGGTTTAGTGTTTCCAATACGGAACGTCAAAGTTTCCAGTATTCCACACAGTTTCCTCTTTTTTTGTATCAGATAGCAGCCCTTAAATTGATCACCTTCCCGTTCCTGACAAATTATTTTTGCCATTATTTGGTCGATAGAATGAATGAAATGAAAGTAAATAAAATGAAAGTAGAAGAGAGTAGATTCAACATAACTAGGATTCTGTTCATGATTGTAGAAACTTCCAGATGAAAATTTCCGAGATTTTAATTCAGTTGATCGAATATCAAAGTTCACCAAACGGTGAATCCTTTGAAATAGTTTGAATACTGTGATACTTCCTCCCACCGCAACATCAAAATAAACTTAGAAAAGTGCTTCACGGAAATTCGTCACAATCCTGAGGCTTTCTGTAATGGGCGAAGAACAGGCCGGATCTGCCCCGACTGTAGTTGCACACATATCTGCTTGCTACTGGAACACCGCCACGCCTACCGATGATAATGCATAACCGTCTAAGTGAACATCAGGGATGCTTTCCAATCTGTCAACCGCTCCACTCTATGGAATTACTTGACTGGGAATGACGTGCCTATGGAGGTTCTGTTACGGTAGATCTCGGGCAGAGTGGCGGTGTGTTATACTCCAGCGATGGTCGACAGAAATCCCCCACTTTCCCATTTCACTTCAATTTTACCTTTGGTCTTCTATTGCAAGAAGGTTTGAGAAATCTGATAGATTGTATTGTGAAACTCTGATGAAGTTTGAGAATAGACTTGGATGTGCAGTCGACATCGCTTTGCCGGGAGACGAAACTGAAATCGTCCAGGAGGCTTTGATCCAGTCATAGTTTCAAGTTACTATATTTGATATGATTCCTGTTCCAGTTAAGCGTAAAATACTACGACCAGACTAACAGAATGCCCCACTTTATGGTACTATTTTGGAGATAGTCACTCGTTTTGTGTATATGGAAAGATGTATGCCCTCTTGTTGAATCCTGGGGTATCACTGGCATCACGACAGGCTGCCCGTAAAATCCAACAACGCCTCAGTTCGCTCGGTACACGGCGGATAACTTGTTCGAGCAGAACACGTGCAAAAGCCGATCGCGTTCGATCGTTGATGCGGTGCCAAATTTTCTAATACCTCGTTATGAAAATGAATATGCGGAGCGGACTGCGCTTCGTTTAGGATTGTTTTCTCCTCTTGTCGTATGCGGGCATTGAGCCACGTTCTGTCTAGCGCGTGCTTCATCGTGCTCTTTTTGCGTCCACCGGACACGAGTTGAGGAAGCGACTGGGTAGACAATGGTTGTTATGTCTTACGCCGTTTATATCTGTTGCCTACTATTATGTCACACAGCGCTGTATCACAGTTGAACACCACAAATGCAAAGAACACAAGATATAGCACAGTGACACTAGTAGCACACGTGAACACGAGGACAGCGGACTAACACTAAGTCTGCGAACGAATGATAGTTCTAGGAGCAGAAGCTACTTAGGCGAAACACAGGACACATGGTCGGCTATCGATCTCTCAGGCCTCCCAAAACGCGAGAGGGAAGGCACGGCTTCAGTAGCACGGGTTTTTAATAGCGTTGAACAAAAGTCACGAGTTAATTCACAAGTTTTACTCTAATGCCTGTATGTGATTCAAAATAACATCGATACAAGAAGATTGTACCAATCAATTACACAATGAGCGAAGTTCAATCGGTCATAGACCTCGGATCAGTTTCAGTTTCAGTTTTTACAACCATTAACCATGCACTTTCGTGCGCCGGTTTCGGTTGCCCATTTAGATAAAGGAGCGAAATGAAGATTGGATCGGATCAGACGGTCGGACAGAGTGAATATTGCCGTATGACACACTATTATTGATTAACCTCTGCGAGATTAGTATTGATCCGAGATGACCCAAATGTGTTGTAAATTTGTTCGATTTTTTCACAGAATTAGCGAATTTTCAGCCGGGCTTATCTTGGGACGAATAGCAGTAATTTTCGTCCCAACAATGGTCGACGTCGAAGAGGGGAATTCAAAAGACATCAGCATCATTTTTGTTTCAATAGGGTTCTGTCGTCAGAGGTTGGTAACAGTTATGGTCCGGAAACGGAGTCAGTGGTGTTAATGCTGTTAGAAATGCTGTGGTGATCAGTCTCCCTTCCAATATCACATTTGACAAGAACTAACAAACTGTTGTGTGTATGTATGTATTTCACACATTTATAAACCCAGACCATGTGCCAAACAAATCATACTACAATAATCTTTATCAAAAAGAGAGTTCCATGGTTTGCTCGTGGGCATGATACTACCTGGTTGCCTAGGTCAGGGCAGGTGAATTTTCTTAGGGAGTTCACAACCGGAGCCTTCGGCTAACCAAAGCCCGACCCTGCAGACAGCGAGATGGTGTGTGGGGGGCTGGTATCCAGTACATCCGATCATACGTCCATTGGACGGGGTCAGCCGTTCAAGGTGGCCAATACACCATGTTCAGTCTAGCTGGTGACCACCACCACGATCTGGAAGGTGTGTGCGTGGTTCGTACGCCTCTTGGTTGGTTTGGAATCAAGGTTTTTAGCCAACTCCCCTAGGTGATCTGCCTGTGATTCACCGATCCGTTTATAGCACGGGATGTTGGCTTTTCGTTTTATGACGTGGGTAAAACACCTCCGCCATAGGAAGGCAATGAGCGGGGTTTCCTCCGCATAAGCTGTTTGAAAAGCTTGGTCATATAGGAGCATTTTGTGAGGTGCAAGAGAAGGGTAACCAACTCTAACCACACGAACTATTGTGTGTGAGAGATAAAGTACTGAAGAAGAAAACATGGTTCTGTGACTGTCTTTTCCGTCAATCACCATTCTCCTATTATGTCATGGATCTTATAATACTTTCTTTGCAACCGATCAGTTTTGTATTCCAATTTCAAGTATGCTCATTCAGTACGTTGCAGTTGTTCACGTGCATCAAACCGCAATGTTTTTCCTCCCTTCTCTTCGAATGTTCGTCTTTATCGCTTGCGGGTTCAGTGGCTTTCCGTGCTGATCACAATAGCGGGTGCCATGGAACAGAACGGTATCAGCTATACAACTCTTTTCCAGGCCAGAGATGCATGTTGCCCCGGCCGGCTAGCCGGATTTCAGTGCATGGGTTCTGCTACTTGGGTCCTACTGATGCCTATTCAATTGGGGGCGAATGGACTCAATCTGACTTCGGCAAATCACGTTCTCCTAGTCGATCCAGTTCTGTCACACGGACGTGAGGCCCAAGCCATTGCCCGGATTCACCGGATTGGTCAAACCAGGTTTGTGATAATCTGACACGTGGACAGGAATGTTTGGGTTTCACTTATTTGGACCCAAGTTCTCATTTTTAGTATCCAGTTGACTGAATGTTGATGTTCATGAAAAATTCACTTCTGACACACTCAGCAATGACCAAACACTATCGATATTATCTACCTTTATATTGAAAGTCTTGTGAAAAAGCATTTCATTTCAACAACCCGGCTGCGAAGCGTTTGAAAACACTTGTTTTTAGTTTCATTTGCATTAGATTTCTTCTTGTTCTGGACGGGTCACAATTTCCACATTATCTTTTCAGGCCTGGCGCGGTCCATCGCTTCCTCGTCCAAGATAGTATCGAGGCCGCATTGCACTCCGCCCATACTCGCTCCCAACCGGACAACATAACCAACGGTGAGTACGTGTCCGCAGTCGAGTGCATGGTCGGAGCCGGTGTCCGTCGGACCAGTTCATCTAACTGCGGTGTGGTCGGTCCAAGTGAGGACAAAGCACAACTGATGTCGATGACAATCGGTCAGTTGGCCGAGCTGCTTCATGTGGAAAGCAACTCGGCCATGTTGGAAGTGGAGCAAGGACAGAATCATGATGATTTTTAAACGCTGATTCCTCTATGTGTATCTGTGTATTTGAAATAACCCGGTTGTACATATATGATATTCCTAAATTCCCGTTTTTGTTTCTTTTTATTCCACATTCATAGTACCTACTTGATCTCTTCTTGTATACAATTTTACCTTTAGTCATTTGGAATCATATAATTCTTGATTTCATGCTTGTTCTTATTGTTTTCTCTTCACCCTAATGTTTTTCTTCATTCATTACTTTTCGAAATGAATCAAGTGCTTGACGTAACAGATCGTTCTGACTGTTCCCACGCACTGACAGATGGTTTCATTATCATCATTTGACTCTCATTCATAATTCTGCTTAGTTGCAAAATATTTGGTTACAGTCCTCTGGAATACAGAGATAAGTGTGTAAAAGTGAGTTGGATTCGAACGAACGAAGTCCCCACTGAAGTATTTTGATCATTTTTTCACAATGGATTGTCCCCCACACACACACTTGCCGATCAAAGAATCTCAACGGAGTTCCAAAAGAGTCAATTTGACCAGGTTGATCTCACACGATATTTAGTTTCTCGCAAGATTTAGTACTGTGTGCGTAGTGAGAGAATTAGGCTTCTATTTATGAATGTACTAGTTAAAGCACTCAATTATTCATTGATGGGCCGGATTCGTAAGACGCTTCATGCAGAAGAAAATTACGGTTGTAGAGCCATCTGCTCACTGCGCCTG